GCATTTTTAATTATTAATCAATTCCCACTATTTATTTATATTCTTTAGGCTCTAGTGCTGCATGATCCTAGCTTTAAGCAAAGACGCCCTCCATAGCACGAATACAAGGTTCTGAAGCTTGTGAAATAATTTTAAGTCTAATGATTAATGAGTCAAGTTTCAATAACAATTAAAATGCCATTTTTTTACTCCAGATTAATTTTTACGATGTGCTCTCTTAGTAACAGTTTACAGGAGGCATTGGTACAAGCATTTATAGACCAGAATCTCTCTCTTTGTACTTCGACTATTTCAGTTAAGAGCATAAATACTAATCTTGGATATAATAGAGTTGATATTGTATGATTTGATAGATGGTCCCCTAGTTAATGCTGATTTGACATCATTTTCGCAACTCGGTCGGAGCGTTAGGGAAACCTTATGGAACGTACTTAGCCCTGCGTCTTCTGCCATAATATTAGGGATTTCCAGCATCGGGCCATTGACTTGGTACATTCCCATACTTTTCACCGGCATCGTCAGTGAGAGGCGCCACCATTAGTGCAGACTTATTACTAATCAATGACAAGTGAGGGTAATCCCATTGACCGATTTTCTGTTCAACCGTTGTGGCATCACTCATCGAACCTGGTTTTTGTCCTGCCTTCTAGTACTGCATCTCTTTCTTTTAACTCTACTCCATCTTTTAGATATAAAGACCAAGATGTTGTGGCCTCTATTTTGGTCACAGTCTCCTTTCGCTATATAGAAGTGGTATGACCTCGTTTTCGCAACGTGATCGTGTTTTCAGGGCTACAGAAATATTGGAGGTAATCGAACACATTACCAAGTGATTTTATATGTTGCAGGGATCAATTGACAAGCGCGTGGAAAGGGGGTCTAAATGAATGAAATGAGGACATGACACAGAAGCCCCGCAAACGGTATCTGGAACCAGTGGTGAAGGTGAAGCTGGATCAACTTGTAGCGGCATTGGAGGAAACGAGAGGACAGAATGTTGTGAATAGGTTAATGGACGATATGAAGTGGGGCCGAGAGAACGAAATACAGCACTAGAAGGTAGAACGAAGACTAGGAGCGAGGAGTGATGCTACAATGTTCGAACGGAAAGTTGATCAAGAGGATTGCCCTCCCCAGTCACTTTGATAAGTTGTAACTGTGTTACCGATGGCGCTTCTCACTGACGATACTGACTACTATTCCACCAAAACATCCAGGAATGTATCGAGACAATAGTTTGATGCTGGAAATCACGTATACTATGGCAGAGGATGCAGAACCAGGTACCTTTCATAAGGTCTCCCTGGCGCTCCAATCAAATTGCGAAAACTAAGTCAAAACAACACTATAGAGCTATAGGAGATCGCGACAAAACAGAAGGCCACACTATCATGGTCTTCGTATCTACGTCCCACTAATTAGTGTACTCTTTATTTTACTAGGTTTATGTCTGGTATAGTTTTAAAAATACTTTTTTTTTAAATTATTTTTTTAGTCCAGCTTAATGAAATGCTTGTTTAACATGTATTTTATTGTAATGCATTTTTTAAAGGACTAAGTCTTCAAAAATGTGCTTATGATAGGTAGACTATCTCTTCTCTAATTTTCTTCTTCCATACTTTTTGCAATCATCTTTGTAGGAGCTTAAGCTGTTAAGCACTTTTTTGACGCTGCATGCAGGCCTACAGCATTGTCAGAATGCGAGTGATGGTCACCACGCCCGTCACCAACTCCGGCTTCTTTCCATTGGCATGATTTCCTCCAATGCTGACTCTTCCTTATTCTATATTCGTCATGGTGTCGTCAAATGGATAATGCTCCAAGCCGTGCAGCAACTAGCAGCTGATTCGACTATTTTGCCTCCTCCTCGCCCTCCTTATACTTCTTCATCCGCATCTAATGCTGATCCCAACGCTAATCCGAGCATCATGCGGTGGCATATGTCACAACGGCCCCCGCAGACTCGCTTACTTGCCATACCATGTGTGGAAGCAAAACTGCTTCCGCACTCCTCCAATACATTTCGTCTGGCAGAGCCGGCCCAATCCGGACCACAGAGATATAAGCGCTTCTTGGAGATGGCATTCTGCTTAGCTCGAAGTTGGTATTTTGATCGTGATGTCTTCGAGGTCTCTCATATAATGTTTTTACATGAATTTCAACTTCATGAGCAGGCAGATTTTGTGAGTACTATAACTGTAGGCGAACATTTAACCACAGGTTAAGACCCCATTTTTACCATTTTTGTTGCATTATCAGTACTAGGCATTAAAATCGCTTCATTTTGATCCACCTGACTCCTACAATCACTTCAAGACATCAGTTCTTTTCGGCTTAGTCATGTTTTAAGATAATGCTCGGAGAACGCACCTTCTACCGCGTCCTCTGCTTTTGTTTTCTCGTGTTATTACAGCATCGGATCGTCGATAGGCTATATTTACATCCGCTTTGCCGGCATCGTAGTTGACTTCTGTGAGCAGAGCCTTCTTTAGCAACGAGACACGACTCAGCAAAGTGCTAAGTAGATATGAAGTATAACTGGGTTTCGATGAATCTCCTGAGATAACATTGTTGGTGGGACTTTCATTTCGTATAGAAATGCATGAGGAAAATACTCGAAGGTCGATCTCACCAGAAGACTACGGCTGGTTCTCGTTGGTTTGCAGCCGTTTGACTTTAATACGACGTTTAGGTTGACGTGGTCCGCGAAGCATCTTCCTTCGTTTCGGGTGAAAGCGGACTAGGCTTTCATTCATCATATAATTGACATCATCAGACCTCGAGTTCATTCTTGTAAAGGTCTCATGTAAATACCACGTCAAGGAGACTTTTCGGCTTGATCTTACCTCTTATATATACTCATATTAAAACTGTGGATGGTTTGGAGTTGAGAATGATGATAACTACTATGGCAGAGTACTTCGAACAAGGTGCATTCAACTAAGTACCTATGACAACAAGACCACGTCGCGAAAACGAGATCAACAAACTTCTATCTTTCATATTGTTCTTGTTACTTTTGTGTATATGTGTGTTAACGTCTATATGCGATACCGGTCCTAAATCAGTTATCAAAAAAGTGGTCGACCTTACATGTAAGATGTTTTCAATCTATTTCGTTTAAGGTGGTAAGGGGACTGACAGTTGATGTTGGTGAGACATGATATAGTGCTAACGTCAGAAACGTCAGGAACGAGTTCCAGGTCTGATGACATCTACTATACGATGGACGGGTGGCAGCGCGTTTTTACTCGAAAAGAGGGAGGATGTTTCGTCGACTGCGGCACTGAACGTCAGCCAAACGGCTGCGGCACAACGGGATTCAGTCGTCGTCTTCTGGTGAAATCGACCTTCGAATATCGTGTTCCTGCACTTTCATACGAAATGAAAGTCTCAGCAAAGTTAGAAGTGGCTCATTTTCTTTCGGGCGGTTCTGATATTATTCATTTGCCATATTCTTGTACATTTTATACTACACAGCTCCTTAACTTCATCCCGCACCCCCATTTCTTATGACAAAGCATCTTCTCTTGAGACAGTTTCCCATCCTACTTAGCTGAATTGGAGCTTCCACTTCGCTTTCCCTCGTATACTTTCGAAAATTCATATATTATAAAACGTATTAATTTTATCCACTTAATCTCATCCACTATATCCGTCATAATCAGGGAAGTAGTCAATTATCAGTCCTGAGCCTGGCACTGCACATATACGAGGACTGATTTAAAACCGTGATTTTCACATTTGCTAACGTATTCTTCATTCAAAACCGACTTAGGCAAAGATTATGGTGAACGAGTTCGCTATGATATTTTTTATTTTCTACCAAAATTTTACTTTCAGTCTTGAATTTCTTAATGTACTACTTTAAACTGATATATTTAACATTATAGATGACTTCGCTATTGGCACTCTAAGTAGCTTCTTTAGAGACCCAGCACTTCTCACCCCGCTTACCAGAAACCCTACTTTAGGCACCTACTTGCCATAGGCTGTAAACCAAATCATTCGAATTGGCTTTCTGTCATTTACTTTCTTTTAATACAGCAAATATTATGGCTATTTTAGCAAAATATTGGCATGTTACCTCTTTTTACTTATGCCTTTATTCCCCATATGCATGCAAATATATTATTCTTATCCTTTTTCTTACTCCGCTCACAGTATACCTCGAGGTTACGCTTCAAGCAGGCACTGGCATACGAGTTGGTTCCATTCGTTGGACGTCAAATAGCCAGATTCTTGTTCTCATGCCATCTTGACGATCGCATCCACCTCCGCATTCACGCCCACCTTACGATGAAGTTGAAAAATTGGCTCTTTAGTGTGGTAAGTCCAGTGTTCACCAACTACACGCTTCCATGATAACTTGCTCTCTTAAAATCGGAGGCCTAAGGCATCTTAATACTTAGGCTTAGTTTCATGAATATATCTTGACTCATCACTTAGATCCTGGGTATTGTGCCACCATTCGAAATTTTTTTATCATTCGGATAGCATAATACATCGAGATAAGTGGGACTCAATTTTAGAGGAAAATATGAGGTTATAACTCTATATTACTTTGAAATGACACTATATCTCTGAAGAAAGTTGATGCTTTGCTGGACTATACGGGCTTGTATGATTAGCATACTTTCTCCTAAAATTACAACACCTCTCATATTGTAATAATAAGATTCTCTTGGAAGTTTATTATGTCAAAATCATGTAGTGCTTGAAGGTTGTTGGTTCAGTCAGTGAATATGCCTGCCCATCTTGAGCTTAGTTTGTAGGCAGAGTCGATAGCTTCACTCGATCTGGCCTGCTTCAAATTTGGTTCAAGACGTGATGCGATCACCAGCTACAAGCGTGTCGATATCTGCCGCAGAAAAGCTTGGGGAATTGCTTAAGTAAACGTTTCGCTGTAATTCTGGACCAGTCTCAAGGCGGGCTAACGAAAGGGCACACAGTCAACAAGACGTAAATCGACGCGGGGATGCAAAATAATTATTCTGTAACACAGAATGGGATTTTTATATCTTTGGAAACTTTACATCATCTAGTAGAGACTAATTGTGCAAATGTTGTGGGTATTCGTGAAGAGTTTTATGATCAAAAAGTCACATAGTAACCTTACAGCCGGTACTTATAACAGATGAATAGAAAGAGAACTTTTTGCGATTAAATTCATTTTCTGTTTCATATTCTGTGATTGGATTGTCGATGAGACAAAGT